ACGATTATAATGGTGTAACTTGTTAAAATAAAAATGTATTTTTTAAACATATTTTAATTGATATACGATTATGTATGTTAATTTGATAAAAGTTTAAAATGAAACATTTAAAAGTAAAGGACGTAAAGTAAATTAATTAACTAATTATAAGGGTATAAAGTGTAAATTTAAAATTATAATTTTAAAAATATAGTTGTGAGAGAGCGAGTGTATGTGAGGAGAGGAGGGGGTGAAAAAGTGTAAGGGTAGTATAAAGGGTATTTTGGTCATTTATTATTTTAAGACTTTAGACTTTTACTAAATTTGCTTAATAAGACTAGAAGCGTACTCGCGCAATGCAGCGAGATACATCGTGATTTTAATATTTTATTTTATTCTTTATCTCAGTCAATGTTATAATATGGCTTTATGTGATTTTTAGAAAGCGGTGATGTTTTTATTTTTGAATAAAATATATATTTGAAGATATCATAAAAATTTGACAAAAATATATCAATATTAATATCAAATTAACCATTTGAAATTTCTCATTTTTTTGTGTAATTTTTTAATTTATTTTTTTATAATTTAATTTATGTACAATAACGAAGTAATTTATATTTGGTTTAATAATATAATGTTTTTATAAAGATAATAATTATTTATTTTGTTGGAACTCGATAATTATTCTAATTATATTTTAGATTTTTTTATATTTTAAAATGAGATGTTCATCCTCTATTTGATTATGTTTATCCGCAGTTATTTATACGAATTCAAACATCGAACTTTAATAAGTTGTAATTATGCATAATTATTTGTAATCTCGAATTTTAAACAATATGCATCAATATACAGTACTTTATGCATAACAAAAATATATCGATATTCGTATCAAATTAACTATTTAAAATTCCTCATTTTTTTTGTAATTTTTTAATTCAATTTTTTTATTATAATATAATTTAGGTACAATAACGAAGTAATTTATATTTGGTTTAATAATATAATTTTCTTATAAAGATAATAACTAATTATTTTGTTAGAACTCGATAATTGTCCTAATTATATGTTAGGACTGAAAAATCAGTATTAATTGTATTCGTCTTGAAAGATTAATTTTAGTCTATAATTGTAAAGTCAGCGTGTTTGACTTTCTTAGACTAGTTTGACTTTGACTTTGTATTAATATGTTGACCATATAAATAGGGTGGTAATCTTTGTAATTAGTGGTGAGAGGAGCTAATTGTAATATTCAGATTGATAATTGAGGGTTTGACTGAGCTTACATGCATTGACTTTCTCTCTCAAGTGTTCTTGATGTTCTTAATGCAATATCCAAGAATCTGCCATTGATGTTATGAAGATATGAAGATTGATCAGATATTGTGGACAAACAATTGGTATCAGAGCTGGAATGCAAGAAATCAGAGGAAGATTATGAAGATAAGTGAATTTTTTCTGGAATTTTTAATTTCTGAATTTTTGTGTTCTTCGTGTTCTTCGTGTTTTTAATTTTTTTTCTTTGTTTGATCCGATTTTGTATTAAAATATTGTGTTTCGGTGTTAAAAACATGATCAAAATGATCGAAATTAAATTGTGAATCTTTGTTATTCACAAATTTTTGTGATTTGATCAAAATAAATCAAGATTTAATCGGTTTTAAGGTTTTTAAAATTTTTTCGTGTTCTTAAATTTTCTTTTGTAAACCAGTGTTTTTGATCCATTTTGTTGTTTATTTTTTTTGTTTTTGTGTTTTTAAGTGTTTTGATCTGTTTTTAAAATTTTCTTTGTTTTGTTTTTTTGTTGTTTTTTTGTTAAACCCAAAGTCCACCCGGTTTATCTTTAATTTTGGGTTTTTTTGTTTAATTTTTGTTCAAGTCCATTTTTTTTTGGCCCATCTTCATCTTCATCTTACTGCTCTTACACCGTACACCATTCAAGCGGTGTTCTTATAAACCGCGTGAAGCTTGATCGGATTCCTTGAACGGAGAGATACACCGCTCAATTTCAGCAAGTGATTTCAAGCGGTATTCATCTACACCGGTCACCACTTGACCGGATTAGGGGTTCTGATTCGTTCAGCACGCAAGGTTTCTTGAGCGGTATTCTAAACCGCACGCTACTTGACCGGATTTCAAGCTACACCGGTCACCACTTGATCTATTGAGCGGTATTCTAAACCACAAATTTCTTGAACTGATTCCTTGAACAAAGTAGTACACCGGTCAGTTTCAGGTAGTGGAGAACAAAGTGATTTCTACGATGACAGATATTTTCCAAAATCTGTTTACGGCTTCAAAGTCATGGAAATCATCTGTCTGGACTGCTTAACAGCAAGCTCTTCGAGCCTTTGAGTTTTAACTGTCAACTTTTAGTTTTAGAAGTCTGAGTACGAGGAGGACCATGCGCCAAGGTTTCAGCCATATTGCTCTCCACTATTCTCATTTGATTTAATAGAATTGATGTGCCAATCTCAAGCTGTTATTGTGCGCAGATTTCAGATTAGTTTATCGCTCATAAGCTGTTCAACTAGTTTTGGATTTGGGAAATTGACTTGCTTGATTTCACACTTTATTGCTCAAAAAGTTGTACTGATTTCAGGTTCTTGTTATATACAGGTTCTGTTATAAACAAGTGTTTTGTAGTAGCAGTTTTTGGCTGGTTTTGTTTCTTGTCATATATTGGAATAGCAGCAGAGGTCTTGTGCACACACAGGTCTTGCTGTTGTGATTGGATATAGACAGATTCAATCTCAGCACACATTTCAGAAACACAGGACCGGAACAATAGTGAACTGCAAGTTATACAATAGCAGCTCAAGTGCGAGAGCAGCAACTGTGGACATTCTCAAGTGAAAGCTCAAGCTGCACAGTGAATTGTTTTGAGCATATTTGCTTTACTTTMTTGTGCTGATCAATTGTGGATATCTGTATTGGTTGATTTGGGCTTGTATCTAGAATTTTTTGGACTTGGTTTTCTTTTGGACTGTTTTTTGATTTCTTAAATTGTTTGTGTTTAGATTTTTGTTTTTGGATCATTGTATATCTGTTTTTGCGTGAGTTTTCAGTGTTTGTGTTTTTCTATTCTTTTTTAGCTTAACTGTTCATTTTTTTATCTGATTTCACTGCATAAATTCTTAACTGATCAATTTTTTTTTTTAAAAAAATGGCAGTTTTTTATACTAAAGAATATCGTGAGCTTAAAGAAAAGTATGCTCAAGTAGATTCTAGTCTTAGCAAGAGTATATCATGGTCAAATCATATGAATGGTATTCTTCAGAGAGAGAAAGAAGAGAAGAGAATTTTGCAAGAAAGGCTGGATGAACTAGTGAAAACCTGTGCTGATCCAGAMGAGACAGTTAGGTTAAATAAACAGGTTGAGGACTTAACTACWATTGTGAATAAATCTGAAAGTGAAATGATTGAAGTAATAGAGCTGTTAAACTTAGAGAAAGAAAACGTTTTGAAAGTGGAAAAGATTTTAAGTGATGAAAGGCAAGAGATAGAAATAGAAAAGAAGAGGATAATCGAAGTTGAAAGAAAGTTTGGAGCTGAACGAGAATCTTACGAGAAGAAGATTAACTCTCTCGAGCTGAACGCCAAAA